TCACTTTTTAAATGTAGTTATGAATTATCATAAAAGTTACGGATCAAAGTAAGTTAGTTCTAAGAAGTCATCATAAAGCTAAAATAATTTTTTATGCGAATATTTATAATAACAACATATATAAAAGATACAATAGAAATTACTTCAAATAGGACTAAAACAATGGCAAAAACTCAAAACAGGACTTGCTATGTTTTTATTCCAAAATAGGACCATATGAGTCCTATCGGAAACATACCTATTTTTACCTTCCATTCTTACCCTTTCATTAAATATGAGTTAAAAATAGTCAAAAGCCATAATTAAATGTTTAATTCATAATAAATTCGAAAAAAAATCAAAAATTCGTAGAAAAATAATTAAAAAATTTACAAAATATTTATAAAATAAAAAATTTAAAAAAAAATAAATATTTTTTTTAAAACAAAAAATTAATAAAAAATAGTAAAACTCCATTAAAAAATTAAAAAAAATATGGATGCCTTTCCCATCGCTTGTACTACCGCCCTGCTTCACCACCTCCGGCCAGTGAAAAAATGTCATTTTCCCTAAAAATTGTCATTTTTTTCTGAAAATGCCAAAAAAATGGCATATTTCTCTTTGCGAAAGCCAACATTTTCATTGTTTTCTGCCATAAATATGGCATTCGTAATGAACTTGGCATTTCCCCCTTGGTTACTGGAGGTGGTGGTGTTGAGGCGGCAGAGGTGGCGGCGAATTTTATTTTATTTTTTTGAGTTTTTTATTTTTTTAATTTTTTTTTTGAAATAAAAAAATTAATTAATTATTATTATCGAAATATTTTCATTAGTTTGTTAGTATTTTTACGAATTTTTATTATTTTTTATTATTTTATTATGAATTAAAACATTTCAATAGCTAGAAGGGTATATTTGTCCAAGACACACACAGTGGCGGATCATTGTGAGGGCAGGGGTGGGCTCAAGCCCATCCCAATTTTTTATTTATATATTAATATAGGTATAAGTTTGATTAGCAACCCACCCCAAAATTAATTCCCAGCCCAGCCCAAGCCTAATCCAAGTGTCCAACTATTCCACTAATCCACTCACGTGCGGCCTTGAGATCCTTATGCGAAGATTGAAGAACGAAGGTCGAAGCGGAGCTAGCAGCTTGCGACATAAGCTGACCTGCAGCCACCAGCCGCATTGTCGGACGCCGTCGCCCACTCGGCTGTGTTTTCTCTCCGGCTCTCCGCTCTGCCTATAGCTCCTGAGCCCCAGCCTCTAGGTGACCAGGTATACTCTAGCTTTAAATTTCTAATATTCTTTTAAACTTTAATTAATCGAATTTTTGAGGGTTATTGTGTATTGTTGTTGTGTATTGTTATTTTTAGGGTTAGAGAATCAATTCGATAATTAATTGAATTTCTCAGTTCATAACAAAATAGTGTTTATTCATTATAAATTTATAATGATTAAAGATAGAATTAAAGATTAGAGAATGATATATTTATTATACAATTGAAGAATATTGATGGATTGATTCATTGTGTGGACATGTAAGAAAGAGTTAAAATTTTCAATTAAATTTTGAAATTGGGAATATTTATTAGTTTTATGTACAACTATTGTTTTTTCTTATTAGTTTTATAATTTTATAGAAGTGTTTTATTTCATACCAATATTAAAAATGTTTTTTTAGAATGGATAATGATTAATGAACATATTGCTAAGAAAGGAAAGAAGTTAATTTCGTCATTCTTTCCTAAAGTGAATCGTCAAAGTGGTGAAGGGAGTTTTGAACCTGTACCTACGATAATGTAAGATCTACGAAATGAGGTTCCTCCACAAGACTAAATCCCTGAAATCCAAACTATCTCAAATTTTGAGCTGCCTCCATCTTTTTGCATTAATAGATGTAGATTCTATATTATTGATGAATTTTATACTTTGAAGTCAAGTAGAGCTCAACTTAAATGATGTTTTGATGAATACTTAAAGTGTTGACGACTTTCGGTATTACTATGTGTGTGTCTTCATATTTTATTTCTCAGCCCACCCTATTGTAGACTTCTGTATCCGCCCCTGGACACAAATAATTAGTCCTATGAAAATATAGGTTAGTTTTTTGTTCTATTTGTGCAAAGTGGGTCACGTTTAGTCCTATTTTGATAATTAACCAAGATACAAACACATACTCAACTACTTTGACCTAACTTTATGAGTTTGTGTTGACTTGAGTTAGGACCACCGCACATGTGTTGAATTTCTAGTGAAGGTCCCGTTGTCACCAAACACCAAACATAATTTTTGTGTTAATCCTGCTCCCGATTGATCTATTTAAAAAAGATGAAATTGAAATAATCCCTCCCCCTCATTAATTTTGACCAATTATATATTTTAATAGAAATTTTTTATAATGTAAAAATGATATGAAAATGTTTAATGTTACTGATCATTAAGTATACTATGGCCTGATTTAAAAAAATTGTTAATCACTTTTTAAATAGAGTTAAGAATTATCATAAAAGTTACGGATCAGAGTAAGTTAGTTCTAAGAAGTCATCATAAAGCTAAACTTATTTTTTATTCGAATTTTTATAATAACAACATATATACAAGATACAAACAAATACTCAACTAGTTTAACCTAACTTTATCAGTTTCTGTTGACTTGTGTTAAGACCGCCGCACATGTGTTGAATTTCTAGTGAAGGTCCCGCTATCACCAAAGACCAAACATTAATTTTGTGTTAATCCTGCTCCCGATTGATCCATTTAAAAAAGAAGAAATTGAAATAATCCCTCGCTCCCTCATCAATTTTGACCAATTACATATATTAATTGAAATTTGTTTATAATGTAAAAATGATATGAAAATGTTTTATGTTAAAACGATTTTCAAAAAAGTATAAGATTGATGTTAAAACCTGAAGTTCCATCCTAAAAGGTCAATCTAATAGGAGAAGTAACTCGGATGTTAATATAGCAATATATTGCGGAGTATTTCACAATTTTCCGATGTGAGACTTCAGCACCCCTCCTCACGACCAGCCCGATTCGTGTTGATGTGGTGTGTTAAAGTATTTGTCCCACACCGGAAAACTATAAAACCAATGAAATTAAAGACTATATAAGGCTTTGAGCTACTACTTCTATCCGGTTGACCTTTTAGGATGGAACGACAAATGTGAACAATATCTCATAAGAGTTTGGCATATTGAATTATTTCATTTTATTTTAGGCATAAGTTATTAGAAGATACAATTTACTTATAAGATGTTTAACTAAAAGTCGCATTCAATCATAAAAATGTATTTGAATACTACAAAAAATAACTTACAAATTTCAAGATTAACAAGAAATTAAATCGACTTTATTAAAAAAAGAAATTAAATTGATGGTTCGAAACAGAAAATTCCCTACGTAAGAATACCATTAACAGTACTCATACAGTCCTGTACTCATGATTTTTTTTACTCTTTTATTAGTTTCACTCTTAAATATATTTAATTGTACTCCAGAACTTTTCCCGTGTTCTACTCCTTTTTGAATAATGTTTTATTCAAGAATTACATAACCTTATATATTACATGAATATAAAAGGTTGACATTTTTCCATGTGTGTGTTACGTGATGATATAATACGTAATAATGTATTAATGAGCTAAAATAGGGTTTTCATATTTTGTTAGTTTCCTATTGTATTTTGGACACTTATTCTATTATATATATGACATCCAGGGCTACCTATTGGGTAAGTCATTCCATTATTCTCACATGGTATCAGAGCATTAGGGTTTTAACCTACCTATTTTTTCGGTCCGATGTCTTCCGAAGGAACCACCGCTGCCGCCTCTCAAGTTACCGCCATCGGATCCATGCCGATGACGGAGTCTTCTGGGCTGAGCGCAGGTTCCACACCAGGTTCATCCACAACTCTGGCGTCGTTCTCCATCTCAAGCGTGCAGCCGGGTTCGACTTTTCCATCTGCGCCGCCGTCTACATGGGTCCCACCTATTTTTACATGGACACCAACGATTCCGAGCATGCAGTCCTTGCCGCAGCAGTCCTCCTTCGTCGTTGGCGAGTCCAGCAGCACCACCGAACGAAGATGTGACACTCCAAAAAAAAACAAAATAAATAAATTTATTAGTCAAATAAAATGTTACGAAAGTGTTTTTTTTTATAATCAAGTGAATTAGATAAAATTTAACATTTGTGATATTTTTAGTCAGATAAAAATGTTTCAATAATAAAAGTGATAATTTTTATACGGAGTAATTAAGTGAATCAGATAAACTTTTAACATCGATGATATTTTTAGTCAGATAAAAATGTTTCAATAATAAAAGTGACATTTTTATAATTAAGTGAATCAGATAAACTTTTAACATTGATGAAATTTTTAATCAAATAAAAATGTTTCAATAATAAAAGTGACATTTTTATAATAATTATGTTGACCAGATATGACCTTGACTTAAATAACAAAAGTGACACTTTTGTGACAAGTGATAACTATACATATGACACAAATAATAAAAATGGTGCTTTAATTTGATTAAATAAAATGTGTACAAAAATACCACACAAAAATAAAAATGTTAAAAGAGTTGACTTTTAAAGTCTAATAATAATGGATATGATATTACATACTCCGTATAACAATTATATGACATGGGATAACAATAATATACGAAGTACATATATCAATATAAGGGTCATGCTATGGTGCCTTTGAAAATTTGGAATGTATGGTACATCTCATTGTGTGGGCAAATGAAATAGTGACACATGGAAATAGTGGGACATGGAATAGTGTCATTAATGAATTGACTTGAAATGCTATTGGGTGAGAAAGGAAAATGTATGGTACACTCCAAATTTGAAGAGGTACCATAGAAATCTCCTAATAATAAAACCGCACATGCATACCTAACAATAATAGGATGAACACTGCCACATCTGACAAATATGTATGGCTCGTACAAGTATATTATACTATCATAGTAAACAAATCCAACGCACCAGCAAGGAAACAACCGTGAACCTTCGTACATGTCCATAAATAAGAGCCAAGAAGTTTGTGTATAAATACTATCCCTTCGATGTCTAGCCCTGCATCGGGTAAGCTGGCAAAAGAAAAGAAAAAAAAAACAACCAGCAAGAGAAAAAGAGAGATCGAAGAAAGAAAGGAAAAGAAACGTGAAAAAGAGGAGATGAAAGAAGAAAAGAGAGAGGGAAAGAAAGAAGGAGCAGGGGACTGTCGGAACAATCGCCGCCGTCTTATACAACGGCTCGACGGAGAAGATTACAAGGACGCCGGAGAATAAGCTTTGACCGTGCCGCCATTGAAACGGGAGGAGCTACTGCACTAGGGAAATAATTGCCAAACCAAACCCCTATCCGAACCTCCCTCTCGACGTCGCCGGTGAAGAAAATACGCCGGTGTAGCACTGCCGGGCTGCCAGATCGTTTCCACGACGGAGAACGAGTCACCGATGGTAACACCTACTGCCGACACCAGAAGAGAAGGGCTGTCGCTGGAAGACGAGACCGTATACCAGTCCATCGAACCACCTGCTGCCGCCCTCAGGAAGAACACCGGAGGATCTCGCCACTGCACAGGTTCCTTGGTTGCGCCGGAGAAGACGACGAACTCATAGTATGTACTACCTCCGTTCCTATTTTATATTCCAACCCACTTTGGCACACAATTTAAGAAAAGTGGGTATTGTGTGGTGGAGAGTTGTGCAGAGGACAGAGAAATGTGTAAGAAATGTTTTGAACCACAAATTCTTTACCAAAAAAAATAAAGTGGAAATTTAATTGGAACGGATGAAAAAGGAAAATTGAAAGTTTATTTAGGAACAGAGGGAATATAACTTACTCTGTATTACTCCGTATGTTAATAACTTCTGGGCTGGACCTCTGTCATTTTAAATAGTCTGGGCCGAGTCTAAAAATAATAAAACTGGACTGGGTTGCTAGTTAATAGGTGGGTTGGGTATTAATCTAATTACCAGGCTGGCCGAAATTGATATGGACTAGGCTGTTTATTTAGATGACCAGACCGATTAATATCAATGATAATAATATTATAAGGATAAAAAAATGATTAAGTCGATTATTTAACAAAGCAAAACATGGGACAGAAACAGAATGGCAAAAATAGAATGTAGTACTAATACTAGAATTTTAATATTCTTAGAAGGTGATTTTGGTGAAGATCGAGTTAGAAGCTTCGGTTAGAATCATCGCAATTTGAGGTAAGTACTATGTCAACCAAATTTCATGCTTTTCCCATATAAATTTATTTGTGACTAGTTATTTGAGATCATTTGAGTATATGATAGTTAATGAGATTTTACGTACCAATTGTGATTGTGAATTATATATATTTGAGATTTAAGAATTTTATATTGGGTGATATTTTGAGCATTTGAATTTACATTTGAATTGTTCTTGGATTGAAATTTGAGATTTGAGATATTTATGAAGTATCCTATATTTTGGACTATTTATGGTATATCTGAGTATGATGAGTTGGAGTTAATAATTTTCATTGTGAATAATTTTGTGGAGTTTGGATTTCATATCCATTTTGATTGAGGTTATGATACTTGAACTTTGAGATTGAATTATGATTTTGTGAGTACCCGGAGAAATGTGGATTTGGTGAGTGGTAATGACTATAAGTCTAATTCCACCAGGGATCTCCCAAAAGCGGAGCATCCCAGCTTAATTATAGTAGTCAGTAGAAAAATCCCGACTACTCGGACTTTTTACTACCCGGAGAGCTTGGAATCTCTTTTAGGGGGTGTGAATCACTTAAGGTAGGAGTTCGGCTTCCATTGCCTTTGATTGAGTGTGAATGATTGGATTATATTTGGATTAATTGGACTTGGATTCCATTGATATTGAGATGAATTGGTTTTGAGGCTTGGGAGGTGAATTTCATTGGAGTTGAGGTGATTTGGATTATTTGGTTGGACTTGATTGAGGTGAATTGAATTATATTATATTGGATTATTTGAGTGTGTTATATTTTGTTTGGATTGGATTGAATTTGAGGTGGTTGAAATTATTAAATTAATTAAGGATTTCCAAAGTAAAATACTTTTGGATTTGATTTGATATGAATATGATGAATATTAGTTATGAGTTTTTGGAAGGATTTTGATAAAGTGTTTATGTGAGTTTTGAGATAGATATTTGGAGTTTTTCATATGATTTATGTTTTGGAATATTTACGAGAATTTTTGGGTGGTTTGTGTATATTGACATTTTTTGGATTATTATGATTTGGAAATATGTACATATATTTGGAATATTATTATTTTACTTGTGATTTATGTGATGATGAGAATTTTGTATAAAGTGTTTCAAATGGTTTCCTTCCAAAGGTTTTACAAAAATGATATATATGTATCAAACCTTATTATTTTACAGGGTTGGGTGAGCCTTACTTAGCATTTCCAGCTAATTTTTGTTTCTTTGTGTTTTTCTTTCTGTACCTTATTTGTGCAGGATTGAGGATCATGTTGAAGTTGATTTCGAGAGCTTCCGCTAGAACACATAGACTAAAGTGACTAAGTAATTTATTTTAGTCTTAATTTTTAAAGAATCATAGTTGAACTATTAATTATGGAAAATGTTAATTATTGGTGGTGGATAGCCTGTGCACTCGGTTATGTGAGAATTGAGTGTGGCGATAACGCCCCTGTTTCCCTTAGAATTTTCCGCTGCACAACTCTGATGTTTTCAAATAAATCATTATTTAAAGGTATTTTTGGGTGGGAAATTTGGGGGTGTTACAGAAGATTTGCCGGTCCCACCCTCTCGGGCAGTCCGGGTTTCCTACTGCCGTCCTCAGCCGGGCCGGTTGGACGTCGAGAAGTTCCTCCCCTACCCACCTCGTTTGCATCTCTTGGTCAAGGTATGGGTTTTGGTGCTTCCTCTATTACTACTATTGTCACAATCAAATTAGTGGTTGTTGAAGATTACTTACCCTAGCGCACTCAGTTTGAGTCAATCCTGGTCTCTAATGGTCTTTTGGGTATACTTGATGGATCCTTAATTACCTGCCCCACCTCTATACACCTATGATTTATATCAAAATCAAACCATGAATCATGAGTATTATCACTGATTGAAATTGGATTAGACGGTGCGTTCTTGGTTGTTTGTTACCCTCTCCCGTGATATACTTGTTGAGGTGCATCGATTAAAGAATTCTACCGCTATATGGGAACGTTTTGAGGCTCGTTTCATGGCGGCCAGTCTGGCTCGCTCCATGGAATTAAAACAGATGTTGTCTCACATGAAAAAGAAAGAAAATTAGTCCATGGATCAATATTTACTTGAAATCCGGAAAATTGCTGAATCACTTGCCTCAATTAATTCTCCCGTGTCTGATCATGATATCTTGCAATATGCGCTATTGGGGTTAGGTCCGGGATATGAGTCCCTTGTTGGGCCCTTAACTCTTTTCCCGGAAGGTCTCACGTTTGATAAGTTGTGCACCAAACTTGCCCATCAAGAAGCCCGTCTTAATTATCAACAACGGTTAGAGACTAATGTCGGCGCCCCAGCTTTCACGGCCCAAGGGCAGTCTTCTGCGAGAACTGGACAACGACAACAGCCGGCGTCGTAGGCCCAGCCACCACAGCAGCAGTCTTCGCATCGTGGCGGGCGTGGTCGCGGCAGAGGATCACATGGCAGAGGTGGCCATGGACGAGGACGTGGCGGCCAGAACTATCCCAAGTAGTACTATGGTCCCGGACAGCAGCACTTTTATGGTCCCATGCAGCAGCAGTTCCGAGGACCTCCTTCACCACAGCCTATGGGTATACCGGGTACACTTAATTGTAATTCTATTGGGTCATCGTTTTATACTCCTGCATCATATATTTCTTGTACTAACTATGCCTCTGCAGGAACTTCACTCTTTGAGAATAATTTTGGTTCAGTTCCTCCTCCCATCGTCTATCAAATCTGTCACTCTCCAGGTCATTCTGCAGTTAACAGTCCATCCCGATTTGGTCAACCTTCCGCACCTGCTTTAGCTGTTCCCACTAGAGAATCTTCCTCCATTGTTTGGTATCCTGACTCTGGCGCCTCCGCTCATATAACTCCTAACGAAGGTATTTTAGAAAATAAATCTATTTATTCAGGACCACTAACTGTGACGATTGCTAATGGATCTAATTTACCTCTTGTGACTGTTGGTGAATTAACTTTTTCTTCTCCGCCGTGTCCCCTTCATTTAAAATCTGTTTTTCATGTTCCTAATCTTAAATATAATTTACTATCTATTCAAAAATTATGTGCCGATAAAAACTGTTATGTGATTTTTTATAAAAACTCTGTTTGTATTAAGGACCACAATTCGGGGGAGGTGCTCTTTAAAGCTTCTAATCAAGGTGGCGTTTATCCTATTCCCCGTCTCTTTCTTCATCCATTGCTTTAGCTACTCATGTTGCTCTAGGGTCTGTCTGGCATCGGCAGTCCTATTTTAGATAGTCTTAAAAATTCTAGTTCTATTCTTAGTACTTCTAATTTTTCCCATGATTGTATTTCTTGTCGGTTAGGAAAATCTCAACGGTTACCTTTTCAAAAAGTTTGGCATAAATCTACTGCTCCTTTATTTTTAGTTCATTGTGATGTATGGCAGTCTCCTATTTTGTCTGACAGTGGCTTTAAATATTATGTTTTATTTATTGATGATTTTTCAAGGTTTACTTGGTTATATCCTATGCGCAATGAAAGTGAGGTTCTGAAACACTTTACCAATTTTAAAGCAATGGCTGAAAATCTTCTCAATTCAAAAATTAAAATTTTCAAAGTGATGGAGATGGTGAGTTTGATAATAATGGTATGTGTAACGACCGTCCCCAAAACGGCCATTACCATACTCAAACATAAAAGAGACTCGATAAATCAAGCGGAAATAAAGATACAAAGCCTCGATATGAGACTTTATTTCTTTTAGAACAAATCAAACCTTACAACCATAACGAAACGCATCCAAAATAAAACATTTGTAAAACCATTACACCTGATCAGGATTTTAAAAACGTTTAACAACCCTTTGAAGTACCAACGTACTAAACCCACAACATAACTGATAGCCCATACATTCTCTCAGGCTTCCGTACCTCGTTCATTACCTATACATGAGAATACGAGAAAATAGAAGTCTCGTAAGCAATAATGCTTAGTAAGTCACCATTTCATCCACTAAAAACATTTAGGGAATCTTAGCTAGCCATAATTAGATACATAAGCTTGAATACTCCATACATATAGCATATTCACACACATATTCATATCATGTAAAACACAACGACATGTAACGAAATCTAAAAGATTTCCTCATTCATCATTCTTTCTTCTTATCTTATTACTTGACTTGATGGGCCCGTAGTTCGTGTCCTGGCCCCTCGCTAATGACCTTGGGTAGCTAGCTCGCAGCCATCAGAAGTAATCCCGGGACACCCCGCGGAAGGAGATTCCGCTCCGTTCAGCTCAGGTGATTACTTGGGGGAACGACTACCTTGTAACATTTCTTGTCTTTCATTACTTTCATTACCATCATAACTTCCTTTCATTGTTGGTTCCATATGAATCCAACCCGAAATCAAACATAGAACTTTAAATTCACATATCTCATGTCATACAATTTCAAGTATTCATGCACATACATCACAATCACAATATTCCATAACTTTACAATTAACACCACCTGTCAATCCGTACATATAACTTGGAATTCACATATTTTATACCATACATTTCCAAATACCTAGACACATATATCATATTCACAATTAGCTAATCTTCCACACTTTATTTAGAACTATCATGTATAGGTGGTGGTGACTTACCTGGTTCACGCGGAGTATTTACCCTTGTGTGTGCGTGTACGGTGTCCATGAGCAACGGTTCTTCGATGAGCAACTATAATTATAAATACACAAGCTTATACTTGATCAAAATTAAATTCATGTCTTTAGAAAATCCTTAGACTTAAGGTGAGGGAAAGTTCACAAATCAGCCCCTACAAGTTAGAAAACTCCCTCTTTTCCTACAGCAAATCGGGCATAGATTCGGGGTGGCTAGATAACTAAGAATCCGATTGAATTTCATGAATCAAGATTCATCATCTATCAACTCCCTTTCATAATATCAAGGACTCCATGTATCTAATTAGAATCCGCCACTAATCATTAAAATACTTCCCAAATTCTTTTATTAAATTGGGTATAATTTTGGGGTAGCTAAATACTTAAAATTTCACAAAAGTTTTTAATCAAGGATGAAGAACAACTCTATATCAACCTTAATATTAAGAAAAGAATTTAATTTCCCTAGAATCAACTCTAAATCAACAAACCCTAGAAAAATCCCCAACCAAGAACTATAGATATAAATATAGATGAAATACTTTATGTAAAGTGTAAAATCTTACCAAGTGATGATTCTTGATGAATAATAGACTTCGTTTGAATTTGAATCAGTCTAGGTAGGGTTTGGAAACGAGTTTGTAGAGAGGGGTTCGAGCTGAGCTTCATTTTGGGGAAAAAGGGATTTTTCCCGTTTAAATACGCCGTACACCGAACTGGGCAAACATCGCCTCGACCGGCGCCGGTTTGCCCCTGACCTGCGCCAGTTGTGCTGTGTTTTTGACGCCCCAAAGCTTCTGTTTTGGTCAGGCGCCGGTCCGGGTCCAACCGGCACCGGTTTGAGGCCAATCGGGTTCCGAAAACGTCATTTTCGCCCTAAACCGACCCCGATTGTTACCGTTCACATCCTAGACCCCCGATGACATTTTAAACTATATTTTAAACACTCAAATACTATCTAACATGAACAATAACTTGATATACGATTACATTCAAATATACGAATGATTAGTACGGTGTAGTTTCATTGCTCATCGGATACCGCCGCCTGTCACGTTCAAACATAATACAAGCATGTAAGTTCAAATATCATTATCACAAAGTTCATACTCACGTGCTATCCCTACAATTCACACATATAGAACTCAATATGATTAAGTTGTGGGAGAGAATGTAGTTTTCTAATTCACCATTATATCACTTATGTCCAATACATTGTTTTATTTATGTTATATTCCCTTTATGTATAGCTTACTAGCTTACTAGCTATCTCACAAACTGTTCATGGTAGCAATGTTATGACTTATGAGACTCATATGTAAGCCTAAATCCTCTCTCTCTCTCTCTATATATATATATATGTTTATATATATATATGTTTATATATATATATGTTTATATATATATATATATATATATATATATATATATATATATATATATATATATATATATATATATATTCAATGACACTAACATAGTATTATATATTTACTGTTGAATCCTTAAAATACCTTCTTCTTTTATGCGTGATAAGGTACTCTGGTCTAACACATCATTTATAATCTCCGGAAAAATCATTCATTTGGTATGTTACACTTGTGCTATTTGTTGCCAAGGTGCCTCTCCACATGAAAATATTTTCTAAATCATAAGATGAAGTCTTCATTTCTTTCAATAATCCACTGTAATTTGACTCCCCTATTATATCAAAAGAATTTCTTTTTAAAATCTAAAATAGATGAACTATTAAACAAAAATCTTCTTGTGGATAAGTCTTTTGTGAATAAGTTATATTCTAAGTTTAGTAACCAAATCTTCTCGGAGGTCCTCTAGAAAATCAATATATGGGTTAACATTAACATGTCAACATTAAAAGAAATTGTTTGCTTAGTTTCAATTTTTTCATATTTCATAAACACAAGACATCATAAATGATCTGTTTAACAAAATTTGACATTGTCATACCCATAATTGGCTGACACAAAAAAATACATGATAGCAGACAGACAAGACAAGGAGGTGAACTATAACTAGGTCAGTGACTTTATATTAATTTCAATTCTTTCACCCTTTTCTACAATGATTTGGAGACTATCTCTTTGCTTCCTCAATTAGCTGTAGAATGATTAGAAAGCAAAATGCTATGGACATTTTTATTTATTAAACCCTTCAAAACCTTCACTAATGAAAATGTATAATATTCAAATTTGTAGTCTATAAGAGACAAAACTAATAGTTTAATCGTAAACTCCCTTTAGGCCGTTCATTATCCATAATAATTTCTTGGTTGATATTCCACAGTATTGTTCTTTCTAACTTTAATCTTCTAACTATATCACTTAGGAAGTATTGTTTGTTCATGGTGGTAAAGTTTATGTAACCTTCCAGAAATAAGGAAATCAATTGGTTACACATAATTCCATAGAACCTGACAAATGATAACCCACTAAATCATCTGATAATAAACTATATGGGATCGTATCTAAGACTATCTTAGACTAAACAAATTAATTTTCCACAATAAAATTTTAATTCCGAATCCTCTTTTGTTTTACACAACCTTTGCATTATGTTCTTTAGATTTCGATTGGAAATAATAAACTGGTCATGGAATCTACACGATATCTTTCAAAAGAAAATCAAACACCATAACTGAAACCTTCTTACCGGTTTATATTCTTAACTCGACTGATACTATTTTACTTAATGAGAAGTCACATAGTATAACTTACCCAACTTTTCGGGTTTAATCCTTTGGAATTGTTGACGACTTACAACATAAGAATAGTTTGTAGTGGCAAACTTTTACACTCTTTATTCCCATTAATACATCTATTACTCAAGGAGCATATCATCAGTTACAGATACGAACTTATTGGGATATTGTCTACAAATACTTATACTCGTTCATAAGGGATATAAGAGAGCTCAATGGTACCATATTCTTTATTCTATTGAAATATTCATATTCTAGATCATACTATATTCAAACACACTTCGTAAATCCCTATATCGCATGCAATAGGTTATTCTCTACATTTTTACTCACCATGTGGCTAAAAATGTTGGACACCCGCTCCGAAGGTATTTTCTAGCCTTCACAGCAGGGGTTACCATTTTCGTTAGTCTCAGAGACTCTCTACGGAATTTGAAGGGTTCCGCACCATGTGGTTCAAACCAAAACTATTGGTTCGAACTAACCCACTAGCTCTGAATTTAACCGCTCGGTTAAAACCAGTTAAGCAGCCTCATAGGGTTTATTATTTCATTCTTTCATATTACACCATGGGGGATTCACCATATAAGTGAGGACCAGTTTATTAACTACCGTGGATCTATTATTTCTTTCTTTAATATTATGATACGGGAATTTTATCATATCAGTTTAACAACTACATACAATTTGTTATTTTCTCCTTTAATATCATGACATGGAAATTTTACCATATTACTCTATAACAATCAATTATCTACATAAATGCTAAACTCTCATTGGAAACCAAGGTTGTTCTCCACTTGGATTGTGTTTAATATTTAGTTATGGTCTGTTAAGATCATCAACCTATAAGAATGATCGAAAATTTTCATAAATAACTTATTTGGCTAAGATAAGTGTTATTAAGCACTTTTTGCTATAAAGATTTAGCAAATTGACTTCAATAGCCTTGACCTCAAGGGCTTATCTCATTTTAACCTCATTATCATCCCGTCTAGCACAGTAACCCTTATTAATTGTTGACACGTTTGCTAAACTCTGGCCTGTTGTCCAACCTACCCATATGCTTTATAATACATTAAGAAACATCTTTATCGTGTAATGAATACACATGACACATACATATATACCCAACATTTGTACTGAGTTCACTTATATGAAATAGTAGTTACTCTTATATGTCTTTAACTACTCACTTACCTGAGAGATGTCGAGGAGTGCGTGGCAATGGATGGAGTTACGGAAGGACCTGGGCTCTAATACCAAACTGTAACGACCGTCCCCAAAACGGCCATTACCATACTCAAACATAAAAGAGACTCGATAAATCAAGCGGAAATAAAGATACAAAGCCTCGATAGGAGACTTTATTTCTTTTAGAACAAATCAAACCTTACAACCATAACAAAATGCATCCAAAATAAAACATTTGTAAAACCATTACACCTGATCAGGATTTTAAAAACGTTTAACAACCCTTTGAAGTACCAACGTACTAAAACCACAACATAACTGATAGCCCGATCTTCTCCGTTAACCCATCCAAAACCTTGTCACCGGCTGCATACATTCTCTCAGGCTTCCGTACCTCGTTCATTACCTATACATGAGAATACAAGAAAATAGAAGTCTCGTAAGCAATAATGCTTAGTAAGTCACCATTTCATCCACTAAAAACATTTAGGGAATCTTAGCTAGCCATAATTAGATACATGAGCTTGAATACTCCATATACATAGCATATTCACACACATATTCATATAATGTAAAACACAACATCATGTAACGAAATCTAAAAGATTTCCTCATTCATAATTCTTTCTTCTTATCTTATTACTTGACTTGATGGGCCCGTAGCTCGTGTCGTGGCCCCTTGCTAATGACCTTGGGTAGCTAGCCCGCAGCCATCAGAAGTAATCCTGGGATTCCCCGCGGAAGGAGATCCCGCTCCGTTTAGCTCAGGTGATTACTTGGGGGAACAGCTACCTTGTAACATTTCTTGTCTTTCATTACTTTCATTATCATCATAACTTCCTTTCATTGTTGGTTCCATATGAATCTAACCCCAAATCAAACATAGAACTTGAAATTCACATATCTCATGACATACAATTTCAAGTATTCATGCACATACATCACAATCACAATATTCCATAACTTTACAATTAACACCACCTGTCAATCGGTACATATAACTTGGAATTCACATATTTCATACCATACATTTTCAAATACCCGGGAACATATATCATATTCACAATTAGCTAATCTTCCACACTTTATTTAGAACTATCACGTATAGGTGGTGGTGACTTACCTGGTTCACACGGAGTATTTGCCCTTGTGTGTGCGTGTACGGTGTCCATGAGCAACAGTTCTTCGATGAGCAACTATAATTATAAATACACAAGCTTATACTTGATCAACCTTAAATTCATGTCTTTAGAAAATCCTTAGACTTAAGGTGAGGGAAAGTTCACAAATCAGCCCCTACAAGTTAGAAAACTCCCCCTTTTCCTACAACAAATCGGGCATAGATTTGGGGTGGCTAGATAAATAAGAATCTGATTGAATTTCATGAATCAAGACTCATCATCTATCAACTACCTTTAATAATATCAAGGACTCCATGTATCTAGTTAGAATCAGCCACTAATCATTAAAATACTTCCCAAATTCTTTCATTAAATTGGGTATAATTTTGGGGTAGCTAAATACTTAAAATTTCACAAAAGTTTTTAATCAAGGATGAAGAACAACTCTATATCAACCTTAATATTAAGAAAATAAATTAATTTCCCTAGAATCAACTCTAAATCAACAAACCCTAGAAAAATCCCCAACCAAGAACTATAGATATAAATATAGAAGAATACTTTATGTAAAGTGTAAAATCTTACCAAGTGATGATTCTTGATGAATAATAGACTTAGTTTGAGCTTGAATCAGTCTAGGTAGGGTTTGGAAATGAGTTTGTAGAGAGGGGGTCGAGCTGGGCTTCGTTTTGGGGAAAATGGGATTTTTCCCGTTTAAATACGCCGTACACCGACCTGGGAAAAAATCGCCCCGACCGGTGCCGATTTGCCCCTGACCGGCGCCGTTTGTGATGTGGTTTTGACGCCCCAAAGCTTCTGTTTTGGACCGGCGCCAGTTTGAGGTCAATCGGGTGCCGAAAACGTCGTTTTTCGCCCTAAACCGACCCCGATTGTTACTGTTCACATCCTAGACCCCCGATGACATTTTAAACTATATTTTAAACACTTGAATACTATCTAACATGAAAAATAACTTGATATACCATTACATTTAAAAATACGAATGATTAGTACGGTGTAGTTTCATTGCTCATCGGATACCGTCGCCTGTGACGTTCAAACATAATACAAGCATGTAAGTTCAAATATCATTATCACAAAGTTCATACTCACGTGCTATCCCTACACTTCACACATATAGCACTCAAACATAAGTTAAAACATGATCATATATAACATTAATTAATGCATAAGAAGTAGAAAAAGTACGGGCGTTACAGTATGCGTAATCTTTTTACTCACCATGACATTTTATTTAGAAAATCTTGTCGTGACACTCCTGAACAGAATGAGGTGGCTGAGAGAAAACACCTTCATCTTCTAGAATTAACTCGCACTATGCTCTTTGAGGCAAAAATGCCAGCTACATTTTGGGTAGATGCGGTTTTTACTGCTACCTATATTATCAATCGTCTTCCCACTCCCAATTTAAATGGTTTATCTCCCTTTGAAAATTTATTTCATCATTCTCTAGACTTCTCTTTTATGCGCATTTTTGGGTGTGTCTGTTTTCCAAATTTCAATGCCACGTCTTCAAATAAACTTTCACCGCGTTCAGTTTTATGTGTTTTTCTGGGTTATCCTCCTGAGTATAAAGGTTACCATTGTCTTGATCCGCTTACCGACAAAATATACATCAATATGAATGTTATATTTCATGAAAATTATTTTCCATATTCTGATTTAACGTCTTCTAAGTATAAAAACACTGCCTCGGTGTCCCATGCACAACCGCCTGCCCACATACCCTTGGTATCCCCATCCCACACACATCCCTCGGCAATCTCCCCTTCTCCCAGTCCCGCGGACCTACTGACCGACCCCAAACCCTTTGCTTCCCTCTATCAGCCACCTTCTCCCGTGCAGCCCAACAGAGCTGCAACCCCTCGGCCACCATCACCCCGACAGCCTGATAGTCCAACTCCTTCCCCGCCATCATCCCCAAACCAGTCCGACAGCCCCTCAGACCTCCCGCCATCACCCAACACCTCCCGCCCCCATAACCCGTCGCCACCTACTTTCCCGAATCAGACCGGTCATCCAATGCAAACACGTGCCAAATCAGACATTTTCAAACCAAAAACTATTTTTAATCTTAAAACATATATTATGGCATGTGATCCTACTTGTTTTAATTTTCATTTGCTAATAAAGATGCTAAATGGAGAGCGGCTATGGTTGAGGAGTTTAATGCTTTGATTGACAATCAGACTTGGGATTTAGTTCCGTTTAATCATCATAAGAATGTGGTGGGGTCTAAATGGATTTATAAAACTAAATTTAAATCTGATGGGTCTGTTGAAAGGCATAAAGCACGTCTAGTAGCTCAAGGATTTACCCAACAAGCTGGGGTTGATTTTTCTGAAACATTTGGCCCTGTGGTCAAACCTACTACTGTTCATATTGTTTTGTCTCTTGTTGTTTCTTTTGGTTGGACCACGCGTTAGTTAGATGTTAAAAATGCTTTTCTTCATGGGAATCTGATAGAGGAAGTCTATATGCATCAACCACCTGGTTTCATTCATCCTCAGTTTCCTAATCATGTGTGCCGCCTGCGCAAGGTAATTTATGGCCTCAAGCAGGCTCCTCGGGCCTGGTTTTACAGGTTTAGTAGCTTTCTTCTGACTCATGGCTTTATATGCAGCAAGTCTGATAATTCCTTATTTATTCATCTCCGCGGGTCATCTATTCTTTACCTGCTTCTTTATGTGGATGATATTATTATTACCGGTAATTCCCCTTCCTTTATTTCTTCCTTTATTTCTTGTCTTGACCGATACTTTGCTATGAAGGATTTAGGGGATTTACATTTTTTCCTCGGTGTCCAAGTTGTGCGTCTACCTAACGGTCTATTTTTATCACAGTAAAAATATGTGTCTGATCTCCTAACTAGGTTTCATCTTCATACTCTTAAACTTGTTTGCACCCCTCTCCCTTCTAGAACTAAGTTATCTCTCACTCATGGTGAACTTCTTGCAGATCCTATGGAATACAGAAGTATGGTAGGTGCTTTACAGTATTTGACTATGACTCGACCTGATATTACTTTTGATGTTCACCTGGTTTCCCAATTTATGCATGCTCCACGTACTTCACATATTTTGGCTGTTAAGTGCATTTTCAGGTACCTCCAAGGCACTCCAGATCATGGCCTACTGCTTCAGCCAGATCAGTCATCTCCTACCGTTCAGGCCTATTCTGATGCTGATTGGGCCGGGTGTCCTGATAGTAGCCGGTCCACATCTGGTTTTGCTATTTTCTTGGGTCCTAACTTGATTTCCTGGAAATCCAAAAAGCAGCCCACTGTTTCCCGATAATCTACAGAGGCCGAATCCAGGGCCATTGCCTACACAGTTCAGGATACACTACACATCAGGTCCATTTTGTTCAAGCTAGGGGTACCTATTTGCGTGCCGGTTCGGTTGCTGTGTGACACTGTTTCTGCTTCATATTTATCCACTAATCCTATTCAGCATGCATGCAGCAAATACATCAGCATTGATTATCATTTTGTCAGGGAGCGTGTTTCTCATAGAGACCTCGTAGTGCGCTATGTTCCTACACAGTTTCAACTAGCTGATATCTTCACCAAATGCTTATCTCCTCAACAGTTTATTTTTCTTAGGGACAATCTGCATGTTGTTTCCCCTGCACAGATTGAGGGGGTGTAATAATGTATTAATGAGCTAAAATAGGGTTTCCATATTTTGTTAGTTTCCTATTGTATTTTGGACACTTATTCTATTATATATATGACATCCAGGGCTACCTATTGGGTAAGTCATTCCATTATTCTCATAATACGGACTACGAAGTAATAGAAGATGCCAAGACATAATTCAAGCCTAGACCTACTTCTTTTGGATGGTCCTACATGATCGATTATCCACATGATTTATATATTTTTATTTATCCATCGTGCTATTTTTGTTTCAAATTGCGTTATCAGTTTTATTCAAAACAAGTAATTAGTTCGAATTCCAACTCCAAAATCACTTTGGCCGATCAAATAATTCATGAAATAATGATATGCTTTAACTTTCAAGTGATTTTGGGTTCTTTACTTGTCACACATGTCCGGTATTGCCCATCTCAGTAGTTGGGCGCTTATTATAATGATAGTGAAGCATTAAGTATACTATGGCCTGATTTTTTAAAAATGTTAATCACTTTTTAAATGTAGTTATGAATTATCATAAAAGTTATGGATCAGAGTAAGTTAGTTCTGAGAAGTCATCATAAAGCTAAACTTATTTTTTATGCGATTATTTATAATAACAACATATATACAAGATACAAACAAATACTCAACGGCGCCACACATGTGTTGAATTTCTAGTGAAGGTCCCGCTGTCACCAAAGAGCAAACATAAATTTTGTGTTAATCCTGCTCCTGATAGATCCATTTTAAAAAGATGAAATTGAAATAATTCGTCCCTCCCTCCTCAATTTTGACCAATTATATATTTTAATAGAAATTGATTTATAATGTAAAAATGATATTAAAATGTCTTATGTTAAAAGTATTTTCAGAAAAGTATAAGATTTATGTTAAGATATGAAGTTCTATCCTTAAAGGTCAACATGATAGGAGGGGTAAGTCAGATCTTAATATAGAAATACATTATTTCACAATTTCCCGGTCTGTGACTTCAGCACCCTCCTCACGACCAACCCGATTTGGGCTGATGGTGTGTGTTAAAGTATTTGTCCCACACCTGAAAACTATAAAACCAATAAAAGACTATATAAGACTTTGAACTACTACTTCTATCATGTTGACCTTTCGGGACGGAACGCAAAGTCTTAACAATATCTCATAAGAGTTTGGCATATTGAATTATTTCATTTTATTATAGGAATAAGTTATTAGAAGATACAATTTACTTATAATTAAGATGTTCAACTAAAAGTCGCATTCAATCATAACAATGTACTTGAATACTACCAAAACATAACATACAAATTCAAGATTAACAAGAAATTAAATTGACTTTATTAAAAAAAATTGATTGTTCGAAAGAGAAAATTCCCTACATAAGAATACCATTAATTTCATATTAACAAATAGGACTCATATAGTCTTTTACTCATGATTTTTTTTACTCTTTTATTAGTTTTACTCATAAATATATTTAATTGTACTTCAGAACTTTTCCCGTGTTCTACTCCTATTTTGAATAATGCTTTATTCAAAAATTACATACCCTTATATATTACTCGAATATAAATGGTTGACATTTTTTCATGTGTCCGTTACATGATGATATAATACGGACTACAGAGTAATAGATGATGCCATGACATAATTCAAGATAAGACCTACTTCTTTTGGAGGGTCCCACATGATCGATTATCCACATGATTTATATATTTTTATTACCCGTTGTGCTATTTTTGTTTCAAATCGCGTTATCAGTTATATTCAAAACAAGTAATTAGTTCGAATTCCAGCTCCAAAATCACTTCGGCTGATCAAATAATTCATGAAATAATGATATGCTTTAACTTTCAAGCGATTTTGTGTTCTTTACTTGTCACACATGTGCGGTATTGCCCATTTCAGTATTTGGTCGCTTATTTTAATGATTGTGAAGCATTAAGTATATACTATGTCCTGATTTCAAAAAATTGTTAATCACTTTTTAAATGTAGTTATGAATTATCATAATAGTTACAGATTAGAATAAGTTAGTTCAAAGAAGTCATCATAAAGCTAAAATTATTTTTATGCGAATATTTATAATAACTACATATATACATGAGACAAACAAATACTCAATTAATTTGACCTAACTTTATCCGTTTCTGTTGACTTGAGTTAAGGTCCCGTTGTCACCAAAGACCAAACATAAATTTTGTGTTAATCTTTGCTCCTAATCTATCCATTTAAATAAAGATGATATTGAAAAAATCCCTCCCTCCATCATCAATTTTGACCAATTATATATTTCAATAGAAATTTATTTATAATGTAAAAATGATACGAAAATATTTTATGTTAAGAACTAAAGTTTCATCCTAAAAGGTCAACCTGATAAGAGGAGTAATTCAGATCTTAATATAACAATATACTATTTCACAATTTTCCGGAGTGAGACTTCAGTTACTACTTCTTTCAGGTTGACCTTTTTGGATGGAACGCCAAGTCTTAACAATATCTTATAAGAGTTTGGCATATTGAATTATTTCATTTTATTATAGGCATTACTTATTAGAAGATACAATTTACATATAAGATGTTTAACAAAAGTCGCATTCAATCATAAAAATGTATTTGAATACTACAAAAAAATAACATACAAATTTAAAGATTAACAAGAAATTAAATTTGCCTTAATTAAAAAAAAAGAAATTATATTGATTTTTCGTAAAGAGAAAATTCCCTAAATAAGAATACCATTAGTTTCATATTAAAAAAGGACTCATATAGTCTTTTACTCATGATTTTTTTTACTCTTTTATTAGTTTTACTCATAAATATATTTAATTATACTTCACAACTTTTCTCGTGTTCTACTCCTATTTTGAATAATGTTTTATTCAAGAATTACATACCCTTATATACTACTCGAATATAAAAGGTTGACATTTTTGCATGTGTACGTTACATGATGATATAATACGGACTACGGAGTAATTGATGATGGATGCCATGACATAATTTAAGCTTGGACCTACTTATTTTGAAGGGTCCTACATGATCGATTATCCACATGATTTACATATTTTTATTTACACGTCGTGCTATTTTTGTTTCAAATCACGTTATCAGTTTTATTCAAAACAAGTAATTAGTTCAATTCGAATTCCACTTCCAAAATCACTTCGGCTGATCAAATAAATCATGTAATAATGATATGCTTTAACCTTCAAGTGATTTTGTGTTCTTTACTTGTCTCACATATCCATTATTGCCCATTTCAGTATTTAGCCGCTTATAATAATGATAGTGAAGCATTAAGTATAATATGGTCTGATTTCAAAAAAAAAGTTAATCACTTTTGAAATTTAATTAAAAAGATAAAATTAATTTTTATGTGAATATTTATAATAACAACATATATACAAGATACAAGATCCGTCGTACTTTTTTTGTTTCAAATCGCGTTATCAAATTTATTCAAAACAAGTAATTAGTTCGAAATAATCCACCTCTAAAATCACTTCGGCCGATCAAATATTTCATGAAATAATGATATGCTTTAACTTTTCAAATGATTTTGCGTTTTTTACTTTTCACACATGTCTGGTATTGCCCATTTAAGTATTTGGCCGCTTATTATTATAATAATAGTGAAGCATTAAGTATACTATGGCCTGATTTCATAAAAATGTTAATCACTTTTTGAATTTAGTTATGAATTATCATAAAAGTTACGAATCAGAGTAAGTTAGTTCTAAGAAGTCATCAGATCATAGAGCTAAAATTAGTTTTAAGAGAGATGAATTATCAATCCGAGACCTGAAAGATGAAATCTATCGGTATAGGACCTGAGTGATGAAAAACTATCAATCTAGGATCTAATATTTCATAGGGTTTGATTTATTTAATTTTTTATTAATTCCATTGTTAATTTTTGATAAACTTTTCTTCACAAAAGTTTATTAGTTTAATAAAACTAAAAAATATTAAAAAAATTTAAGATAAAAAAATTAATAAAATTTCGGACAACTTAGGTCCTAAATTGATAACTTCCAATTATTCAAGTCCTAAATTGATAGTTTTCCATCATTCGAGTCCTATACTGATACATTTCATCTTTCAGGTCCTGGATTAATAATTCATCTATCTTTCGGGTCCTGAATTGATAAAATTCCTTATAAAATAACAACATATATACAAGATACAAACAACCAAGCATTCCAGCCCAGCTGGTTGTGAGGTTACCGTGCCTAGTGTGAGGTCTCGAGTTCGAAACCCGCTAGGCACATAAGGGTTTGAAACTCAATAGAGTAAGTTTTAGCCTTGATTACTCCAGGGCCCCCTAGACCCCATGGAGTAAAAAAAAAATACAAGATACCAACAAATACTCAGCAAATTTGACCTAACTTTATCAGTTTCCGCTGATTTGAGTTAAGACCGCCGCGCATGTTTTGAATTTTTAGTGAAGGTCCCGTTGTCACCAAAGACCAAACATAAAGGCCTAATAAGAATATTAGACATGTTATGTTGAGTATTAAAGGCCTAATAAGAATATTAGAAGCCTAATAATGAGCATCATGATCTCTGTTTTATACTTCGTATATTTTACAGAAATTTAAAAAATTCTTTTATAAAACTCTTATGAATTCGAATATGAGAATCTAATTTAATATTATACTTCTGAAATACTACCCCCGTCCCTTAAAACTTTGTCATGTTTGACCGGCACGCAGAATAATAAAGTAAAAATTGTGCGGTTGAGATTTGTGCAGATGAGAGAGAAATAACAGGAACCACAAAATAATTGATTAAAAGGGAAAGTGGCAAAGTTTTTTGGGACGTCCAAAAAAGGAAAGATGGCAAAGTTTTAAGGGACGGAGGAAGTATACGTTAATATGAATATCATAAGTTCTGCTAATTGAGTGTCAATACATTCTCACTTAGCATTAACCTTCACATATTGAGTACTAGAAACCTGCAATTGAGTATTGTGATTTATGCAACCATGTAATTATTAATTTATTAGTTTTTTCCTTTTGTAAGATTGGTTAAATTATTTTTATAATTAACTCATATGAATTCAAATATGCAAATCTATCATTATATAAAAGTAAAAGATTTTTGACACTATTCTT